TATTAACGTTTTGGGAAACGATTTAGTAGAGAACTTAAACTATTAAAGCCATTGGCTACAAAAAAAAAAGACAAACGTGAACGTGATTTGCCATTTCGATGCCCACGCCGATCCATTGCTCAGCGGATTGTAGTTATTAACGTTTGAGTTCCAGAAAGGTAAGGCAACGAGCGGGTCCACTTTGCGTAACTCTAGCTCATATCTAATAAAAATTACAAAATTACCAGTGGATAGTATTATTTCGTACATTAGATGTCTATAGATAGCTAGAAAACTAGACTTTAGACTTTAGACTTTATACACCTTTTCAGCAGCTCTCTGTGCCACAGCAAGAAAGCTGGTCCGTTGTGCGCGTTCACCGCGAAAGCCGCCTTGTAGTGGAACTGGGCTAAAGAGCTTCAGATCACAAATACAAGTGCAGTTTACAAGTACAGTTCTTAAATGAATATCTATTCACCGAACGTATCGTAGACACCATTTGCTTTCAATGCTTTCAATGCTGCGTGATAGCGATTTCGTTCAACGTTTGTCAAAGTGTGGTACTCTTTTCGAATTGCCTAAAAAGATTGAAAAGAGATTATGATAGTTGGATTATAATAACTGGATAACTGAATGACTGGATAGCTGGATAACTGGATAACTGGATAACTGGATAACTGGATAACTGGATAACTGGATAACTGGATAACTAGATAACTGGATAACTGGATAATTGGATAACTGGATAACTGGATAACTGGATAGCTGGATAACTGGATAGCTGGATAACTGGATAACTAGATAACTGGATAACTGGATAACTGGATAACTAGATAACTGGATAGCTGGATAACTAGATAACTAGATAACTAGATGACTGGATAACTGGATAACTGGATAACTGGATAGCTGGATAACTTTCCAGGAATTCCAGAAATAAAATAAACTATATGTTTTTGGCCTATTTCGCGATGGAAGCAGATGGAGATGCTAGTCAAAGCCTTGCAAGATTGGAGCAATACTTGGAACAGAAGATGGCAGAAAAACTGATGGCCAAATGGTCGACCCCGAAACTCGAATGTCGATTTTGGAAAGAAATACAGTCGACTCTCTATAATGGAATGGACGGGACCAAAATTACATTCCGTTATATAGAGCTTTCCGCTATATAGAGTTCCGTTATAGAGTTCCGTTATAGAGTGAATCGGCTGTAAACCATCTGGAGTTTGTTGGCTTAAATTTAAGGCCAAATTCGAATTCTAGAGTCTTTTAAGCCCCGATTTGCAAATTTCTGGGATTTAATTATTCATTTTGGTCCAAATCAGTCGTTTCGCAAAAGATGCGGGGCTATCAATGCATTAAAAAGCAACTGACCTTTGTCAAGAGGACTCCTTTGTACATGCAGGGGACCGTTGCCGTTCCTATGCATTTTTGATATTTGTTTTGAAAGCTCCCGTAATCCTCTGAGCCTTATTACATGAAGAAAAGTATTTAGCTAGCAGTCGTTTTGTTCAATTGAAAGAAAGAAAAAGGAAAAGTCAACTGAATCTATATTTTTAATTCTGGTAAATTTTGCGACAATGTCTGCCTGGGAAATTTCGCCTTTAATAAAGTTTTCTTCAAAACTAAACCATTCCAAAATTTGCACAAGCATTTCATCGTGAAACACTCTTGATAACTCGTCGCATTCGCGTCGATTGCCAACGCGTTCACTTTCGGTAAAGCGATTATTGCCCGTTTTGTTCTTCGATTCGTTTTTGGATTTGCGCGATTTGCTAAAAAGTCTATATTTCTTTATATTTCAATTGACTCAAGTAAAATATGCAAATTAGTTAAATAATATTCTTAATCAGTTAAATCAGTTAAATCAGTTAAATCAGTTAAATCATTTAAATCAGTTAAATCAGTTAAATAATATTCTTAATAAAAATAATAATTAAATAATAAACAATACAAAATATTCGATCTATAATATAGAATCCCCGATTCTATATTATATTAGGGTGGTGCAAAAGAAACTGTCGATGGGTATCAGCTCTCATTTATCAGAAACGAGCGATGCTAACGGCATTATTTTTTTATGTTTTGTTCGCATATTTGTTTGCTATTTATTTCGACATTTGAATTTTTTGGTTGTTGTTTATTTTATTTAAAAATGCTTATGTTTTTTATTTAGATTATGGTCGAGCAAAAGTTTGTGCTACGAGCAGCACTACTGTTTAACTTCAAAATTGGAATCGTCTGCTGCCGAACCGCATTGTTCTCTCTGTGCTGCTTTCGGAGATGACCGTTTGTCTCAGGAAGTGTCTCTCTACGAGTACGGTTCGAGGCCAGAAGTTGTGAACGAAGCCAAGATGAGGGACGCATTCAGGCCGAGCCATGCCAATCTGCTCGAGATCTTGGGAAAATATTCCATTTGTCCTACGAGCAGCATTACTGTTTAACTTCAAAATTGGAAAGTCTGCTGCCGAATCGCATCGTTGTCTCGCAAGGAACCAAAAGAGAAAAGAGGACCAAATTTGTAGAGAAAAGGAACCAAATTTGTAGAGAAAAGGAACCAAGTCTGCTGCCGAATCGCATCGTTCTCTCTGTGCTGCTTTCGGAGATGGCAGTTTGTCTCTCAGGCAGTGTCAGACTTGGTTTCAACGATTCCGAGAGGGAGACGAGACTTTGGAAGATTACGAGCACGGTTCGAGGCCAGAAGTTGTGAATGAAGCCAAGCTGAGGGACGCATTCAGGCCGATCCATGCCAATCTGCTCGAGATCTTGCGAAAATATTCCATTGTGATCATGTCACCATCGAACGCCATCTTTTTTTGAATTTACCGTCAAATCGGCAGCTTCTTTTGCACCACCCTAATAGAATTCTCTATTCTATATTATAGATAGAATATTTGCGTATTTTACTTAAGTCAATTGAAGAAATATTCACTCTTTAATATTCATAATATAGAATTCCCGTTTCTATATTATTCTATATTATTCTATATTAATCTATATTATTCTATATTAATCTATATTAATCTGGTTGAGTTTTCAATCTTCTTGATTGTCTAAATCTTTGCTCTTTGCTATCTTTGCTAAAATTAAAATAGCAGTGGTCAGTGGTCAGTGGCCCTAGGTCAGTGGTCAGTGGCCCTTCAGTGGTCAGTGGCCCTAGCCAAGTGGTCAGTGGCCCTAGCCAAGTGGTCAGTGACCCTAGCCAAGTGGTCAGTGGCCCTACATTCTAGCATTCTTAACGTTTTTACCAGCTTTCGGATGTAATTCAGCGTATCGCACTTTCGCCATATTGTGCTCTTTGACCGTTTCTTGCCACATTTTCACCGTTTCTCGGTGATCTTGCTGGGTTTTTGCGACGACTTTCCGCTGTGCTTCGATCATCGATTGATCAACTGTGTTTAAGCCTGAATAGATCTATGTATTTACGGTATTTAGATCATCATTTAGAGTGGAAAAGCTTAAAAACTGTACAAGATAAATAGCTTAATCCGTTTTCTAAAAGATGCGCTTTTGGGGAAAGCCGGTAAGCTAGGTTTTTGGCACATTTTAAAACCATTTCTACCAATTAGATCTACCGTAATCTGTTGTCTTGAACAAAAGAATTAAAAAGCAATGACAGACATTTTTAAAGACTGAAATATCTACCGTAGTCTGTCTATAAAACTGTCTACTACTATAACTTTAAAACAAAATGCAACTCACCGACTAGCTCTCGTAGCTTTGCCCTTGCCGCTGACAAAACAGCAGCTGTATCTTGCTCGATTTTTCTCGCATTCAACCTTGCATCAGCAAAATATTTCAAATCCTGATCACTTATTAAACCCTTCAACTTTTGCAAGCGTTTCCTTTCGTTTTTCTTTCGTTGAGTGAGCGTTTTTTGGCGCATTTGGCGAAGGCGGCAATGGGCTCTAAAAGTCGAACTTTAGAACTCTAGAAGGCGGCAATGGGCTCTAAAAGTCGAACTTTAGAACTCTAGAAGGCGGCAATGGGCTCTAAAAGTCGAACTCTAGAACTCTAGAAGGCGGCAATGGGCTCTAAAAGTCGAACTTTAGAACTCTAGAAGGCGGCAATGGGCTCTAAAAGTCGAACTTTAGAACTCTAGAAGGCGGCAATGGGCTCTAAAAGTCGAACTTTAGAACTCTAGAAGGCGGCAATGGGCTCTAAAAGTCGAACTCTAGAACTCTAGAAGGCGGCAATGGGCTCTAAAAGTCGAACTTTAGAACTCTAGAAGGCGGCAATGGGCTCTAAAAGTCGAACTCTAGAACTCTAGAAGGCGGCAATGGGCTCTAAAAGTCGAACTTTAGAACTCTAGAAGGCGGCAATGGGCTCTAAAAGTCGAACTCTAGAACTCTAGAACTCTAGAATAAAAACTGAAAAACTAGAATCTCAATCTCAAACTGACGCAAGTGAAACATTCCGATCGAAAGCCATTCCGAATCTGTTTAAAGTTCTCTTTGATCGTCTTTGCGATAAAAGTTGAAGGTCAAGTTGGGCGCATTCCGCTTTTCGTTTTACGACCTCTTTCTGAAGAATTGCATTAAAAAAGAACATTTATTCAGACGAATAATGTGATACAAACATACAAACAAGCACAATTCCTAAGCCCTAAACGTATAGAAGAAAAAAAAACCCCAAATACAATTTCAAATTCTTAAGCACACCCTCCAAAATCAAGAATTTTGCATTAAAATCAAGAATTTTGCATTAAAATCAAGAATTTTGCATTTTGAACAACGCTGCAACTCTAATTCCTTTTCTATTGGAAAGAACGTGTCTTAAAACCTAGAAAACACTAAAAATAAGCTGTAAAAAAGCTTGACGACTTTAAAGCATCGTTTTTCAGTTCCGTTTTGCACTTCATTGATCGTTTTTTCGTGGATGTTGTTCACAAGATGTCTAGCTCGTGGTGTAAGCTTTGGTTTTGGTCCTGGCTTCTTCTTTAGTGCAGAAACGGTCATCGACTTGATATAATTTCAAATGGCACAGTTGGAGCCCAAATTTTGCCCTTTTGCCATTTTTCTTATTGAGTTTGCTTCTCCGTCAATCAAACGTCCTAAAATCTGGCTTTTTTCATAATTCATGAGCAACTTCGGAAAGCTTGTTGCTCACAAATTGTCGACTTCGAATCGTCAATTTTCCTTCCGTTTTCACTTCACTGATCGTTTTTTCGTAAAGAATAATAAAACATAATCGGCTTTCTAACCATAGATCAATCCTGATTCGTATGAGCCTTGGCGAACGCCAATCGGGCTTTCTTGTGCAAAAGCTTCACGACCGGTTGCATGTTCAATAATTGTCGATCGATATCTGAGTTTTCCTTGATGGCTCGCCAAATTGTCGACTTCGAAGCGTCGATTTTCCGTTCCGTTTTCACTTCATTGATCGTTTTTTCCGTGGATGTTGTTCACAATCTGGCGTCTAGCTCGCGGTGTAAGCTTTGGTTTTGGTCCTGGCTTCTTCTTTGGTGCAGAATCGAACTCGAACTTTATATAATTTCGCACGGCAGAGTCGGATCAGCCCAAATTTTTTGCGATTATTGAGTCGAGTCGATCAATCCTGATTCATATGACTCTTGGCAAACGCCAATCGGGCAAAAGCGTCACAGCCGGTTGCTTGTTCAACAAGTGTCGATTGATATGTGGATTTTCCGTGACGGCTCGCCAAATTGTCGACTTCGAAGCGTCGATTTTCCGTTCCGTTTTCACTTCACTGATCGTTTTTCCGTGGATGTTCTTCACAATATGGCGTCTAGCTCGTGGTGTAAGCTTTGGTTTTGGTCCTGGCTTCTTCTTTAGTGCAGAAACGGTCATCGACTTGTTATAATTTCACACGGCACAGTTGGAGCCCAAATCTTTTGCGATTTTTCTTATTGAGTTTGCTTCTCCGTCAATCAAACGCGCATCAATCTGGCTTTTTTTCGTAATTCGTTAGCAACTTTCCGTGTGCCATTTACCTGGAAATTAACAAAAATTATAAATTTAATAATAAAATATACAAAACAAATGGAAAATTTTAAAAAAAATCAAAAATTTGAAACGGTTTATTTATCAAAAAGTTTCTATTTTGAAAAAACTTTTACTATTTCATTTTTACAGTATTCTTAGTGTTTTTTAGGTTTTAAGACACTCTCTAGAAAAGGAAAAGAAATAAAAGAATAATATTTTCAATAGAAAAGACCCAATAGAAAAAGAATAATAGTTGCAGCGTTGTTTAAAATACAAAAATCTTTATCTTTATTTTGGAGGCTGCGCTTAAGAATTTGAAACACACTATATGGGGAAAAGAACTAATAATCTAGCCAACGGAATTGAATCCTTGACTTCCTAAGATATAGGACTCTTAGCCAGTCAGTCATGGTGGCGGCCAGTTGCCTCCAAGTAAAAGCTCACATGCACTCGTGTGCTCCATTTTTGCACCATCATACAAATTTCTTTGTTGTCGGTCTCGTTTACTTTGTTGCAATCCTAAAAAGCGTAAGTAAAATGGTAATTTTTGAAGAATAGTTGGGAGAATTGAGTGCATCAGATACTCACACCCAGGATGGGATTTCATTACCATGCATTTGGCTTTTAGCCCTGAATCTGAACCTAATCGGGACTGGTTTTAGTCTAGCCTAAACCTCTAGCTGTTAGTCTAGCCTAAGTTTGACCTTTAGCCTTGTCTGGTCTGGCTAGCCTTGCCTAGTGATTAGCCTTGCCTGGCCAAGCTGCTTTGAGCTGAACCTGGTTACAACTTTGGTTCAGGCCTGAGCATGGCCGTTAGCCTTGTCTAGCCGATCTGCTTTAAGCTGAGCCTAACTGTTAGCCTTGCCTAGCCAATCTGCTTTGAGCTGGACCTGGTTACAGCCATGGCTCAGGCCTGAGCATGACCGTTAGCCTAACCTTGCTTGCCTAACTGGTCTGGATCTGGATCTGGATCTGATAATCTGGATCTGGTTGTTCGTCTAGCTTTGCCTCTGTTAGTCTAGCTGAATCTAGCTTTGGCCTAGCTCAATTTAGAATTCTAAGCTAACTTCCGTTTCTGGCCTAGTTACAGACTCCAGAGTTACACTACATCAATGCTTACCCTCGCAAATTCGATAGTCGATTTCTCATCAGGTAACTCATCATCATTTCCATCCGAATCGAGCTTTTTCAATTCTTTTTTAGCTTCCTCCATATCATCATCGGATTCATCAACTGCATCGAGTAAACTCTCAATCGGAACGTCTATTTGCGTTAAAACTCGATCAAAAGCGATGAATAAACACAGAAACAAGTGAATCAATCTCATCTATGGTTTAAATTTTCAGAAACTTTTTAGAAAATTCACTTCTTATCGAAATTTTTTGAATTTAAATGAATCTCTCAATAAAAGTAACGATTTTTCCACGTAATTTATGAAATTCTAATGTGAAATTTTAAAAAGTTAAGGGAAAGAAAGGAAAGAAAGGAAAGAAAGGAAAGAAAGGGAAGAAAGGAAAGAAAGGAAAGAAAGGAAAGAAAGGAAAGAAAGGAAAGAAAGGAAAGAAAGGAAAGAAAGGAAAGAAAGGGAAAGAAAGGAAAGAAAGGAAAGAAAGGAAAGAAAGGAAAGAAAGGAAAGAAAGGAAAGAAAGGAAAGAAAGGAAAGAAAGGAAAGAAAGGAAAGAAAGGAAAGAAAGGAAAGAAAGGAAAGAAAGGAAAAACTACCAAATAGACTTCATAAAATTTTATGATTCGCAATGATTTGTGGGAAATTTTGAAGAATTTCGACTCTTTCTTGTTTTCAACTTTATAGACATTGATTTTTGGGAATGGAAGGGATCGTTTGACAAGAAAATGACAAGAAAAGGAAAACTATCGAAAGATAAGTAAAGATTTGAAGTTTTCGATTTGTACAATGTACAATGTACAATGTAATAAAATGTATTAAGCATAGAACAAAGTGACTTAAGAAACCCCCAATTACAGGTATTTGACTCTGAGAGATCACACACATTTTTCCTTCTACCAGGCACTTCTGAAGATCAAAACATGTAGAAAATTCAGTAAAAGGTATCACAGTAATTCGTTCAACGTTTATAATCTTTTTATATCAAAAGAACGAGAAATCTTCAGAATCTTCAGAATCCCTGTAGTCTTGTTAACAAACTTATTCTTATTCTTAAGAAACTTGTTCTTATTCTTAACAAGCTTATTCTTAACAAGCTTATTCTTAACAAGCTTATTCTTAACAAGCTTATTCTTAACAAGCTTATTCTTAACAAGCTTATTCTTAACAAGCTTATTCTTAACAAGCTTATTCTTAACAAGCTTATTCTTAACAAGCTTATTCTTAACAAGCTTATTCTTAACAAGCCTATTCTTAAGAACCTTATTCTTAAGAAACTTGTTCTTATTCCAAGAACCTTATTCTTATTCCAAATAAACTTATTCTTTATTATTCTCAGTTGAACTTCTCATAGATATCTTTAGAAAAATTCAGCAATCATTTCTGAATATATCAAAATTCATTTGCAAACTTTCAACAAGACGGATCAAATTTCACTCCTTGTTAAACTCTTGATATTGTGTTGGTAAGTTGAAAAACTAAAGAAACTGAGCCACATAATTTAGACATACAATAGAAGATATTATAGTAATTTGTTTTAAAATTCACAATCTAATTGTATTTGAAAGAAAAGACTCAAGAATCTCAGGTTTATACAGGTAGAATCTGAGAGATCACCTCCTAGACACTTGTAGAACACTCAGTAGAAGATGTAGAAGATATCCATTCAGGATCTTATAGTATTAAGTTCACAAAGATGAGGAGAAACCCTGTGACAGAGAAGATCTCTAATATCCATCTTATCTGACAAGAGTTTTTTTCTTTTTCTCACTGTTTATTCTCGGTGCAACATCAAAGCTCGACAGAATTTTATCAAAAAAACAATAAATTCCTATCTTTCTTTAAAGCTTTCTGAACTTTTTGATTAAAGTGCGTAAATGGAGAAAGAGATGGGAAATCAGTTATCGAAAATGAAAAATGAAATGGATGACTAGTCAAAGAGTTCGTTAATAAACATTAAAAACTTTAATTCATTTGAATAGCTGAAAGCTGGAAAGATATTTAGCTATTCAGTAAGTCTTTACATTGTATTTGAATGAAAATACAATGTAAAGACAATAGCCTATCGCTAGATCAAATGTCAAATAGAAAACAAGTACTAAAAAATGACTTGAAGAAGTTGGGTAACTTCTTAGCCTTCTTAGCTTAACCAAACCTAGGTAACTAAGCTACAGGATGAGCCAAAATTACCATTCCAATGCTCACTCACGCGCAAATGCGCATTTCTTAAAACTTTTTGCTATTTTCTGATTTTTCTGTTAATATTATTTGTTCTTCAACATTAATACAATACAAAAATGTCATAAGAATGTTTATTTTTAGAATGTTTCGAGCATCATTGCATCGAAGATCGATCATCGCGATGCGCAAACAGGGAGTGAGTTTGCAAAACGTCTCAAAGTGACTCGAATGCTTGTGCATCGAACAATCGAAAGCTTCAATACCCTTAGGAACGGACCGATTCAATTGACACGACATTCCTGAAAAAAAGCCTTCTAACAACATCAAAAAAAATGATAAAACAAAAAAAAAAAACGAGAAAAACGAAGGAAAATCGCGTACAAGTTCACTCAATCTCCCCAGAGTGCAGATTAGCTATTCGGGTCTAAATCGATCATAGATTGGCTATATGATACCAAGTACTAACCGTTGCTTCCTATGTTTCTTCTCCAATCCATTCTGAAGAGCTGCTTTAATTTCCCATTGTTGTTCCGTAACAAAATTCCTCCTACAACTAGAACAATTCAGGAGGATTAAAGTAACGAAAAAATAGTCTGGGTCAAGAGTTTCGATTAAGCTTTGAATAGATGAGAAGAGCTGATCGGCCAGGGCGTGAGAGAAAGCGAACAGTAACAACTTCAACAAATGTCAAAAAAAAAGTGAGGAATCGCCTTTTGAAAACGCCAAACTAATCGGAAAATGCCAGAAAAAATGGGGATTAAGCGAAAATCCCTTAGAAGAATCATCAAAAACAAGCTCGTTAAAGATCTAAAAGAAAAATAAATCACAAATGCTATCAGCTATCAACCACACAAAACTGTTAAGGATTTGAAAAAAGGGCTCAAAAAGGCTTGGAGCTGGAAGAGGGAAGAGCTGGATCCTGTATACCTCCTTTTCCAAGCTTTTCCAAGCTTTTCCACGACGTTTGGACGCCTGTGTAAAAGCTATTGGAGATCTCTTTGAAAAGAAATCTTTGAAATCGTTTTTATGAATTGTTACGTGGCAATAAAAGTTATTTTTAAGAAAACTCTTTAACATTTTGAGTTATACAGAGACTTTTTAAAATGTAACGATAATTTTGGCTCATCCTCTACTTTTCAGTGAGCAATTAGTCTCTGAATCTTTTATTTAATTAATTTACATAGCATTTAAACTCTAGTCCGGAAACAAAACAAGCCAAATCCTTTTTTCAAAAGTCTACTAAGCTTTTCTAAACTTCTAAACAGCTTCTAAACAGTTTCTAAACGGTTCCTAAACTTCTAAACAGTTTCTAAACAGCTTCTAAACAGTTTCTAAACTTCTAAACAGCTTCTAAACAGTTTCTAAACTTCTAGACAGCTTCTAAACAGTTTCTAAACTTCTAAAACAGCTTCTAAACAGTTTCTAAACTTCTAAACAGTTTCTAAACTTCTAAGCAGCTTCTAAACAGTTTCTAAACAGTTTCTAAACACTTTCTAAACTTCTAAACAGCTTCTAAACACCTTCTAAACAGTTTCCACTTCAAGGAAAACTCTGTCAATCAATTGTCAGCATTTTTCAGAGCATTTCCCTTTTTCCTAAACGAATCATAAAGCGATTTTGGGTTCATGCACTCACAAAAAAAAATAGACAGTCAAAAATAGAAAATTTTCCGAAAAAACGAGAATTTATGCCTTTTTTGATATTGGGAATTCAAAGGATTTTTCGACGTTCACTTCATAAAATTATGGTCAATTTTGTCGGCAGCTTTTGTGATAAGAATTTTGAGACTTTGATTTCTCACACAGTTTTCATTTTAACCCTGTCTGTGTCTTTAACTTTAAAAAGCTATCGATTTCCTGAATTTAAACAATTGTTACAAAGCTTAACCAATTAATTTAGTTAGCTCGTTAGTCGATTCTTGCAAAGCTTGGCCAATCAATTGTCCGATTGGTACAAAGCTTAGTCAATCAATTGTTTGATTGTTCAAAGCTTAGCCAATCAATTGTTTGATTGTTCAAATTGTTTGATCATTCAAAGCTTAACCAACCAATTGTTCGATTGTTCAAAGCTTAGCCAATCAATTGTTCAATTGTAAGCTTAACCAACCAATCCTTCAATTGTTCAAAAGTTAACCAACCAATTGTTCGATTGTTCAAAGCTTAACGAATCAATCGTTCAATTGCAAGCTTAGCTAACCAATCGTTCAATTGTAAGCTTATCCAATCAATTGTTCGATTGTTCAAAGCTTAACCAACCAATCGTTCAATTCTTACAAAGCTTAACCAATCAATCGTTCAATTGTTACCTTGCTTCACTACAGAATCAAGTACTAAAGTTGAAATATCTTACCATCTTTGAACACTTTTTATAAGCCACTTCTATAGTTTCCTTTATCTAATCTATTATCAACTTTACGGGTAAATTTTTGGCTCAAATTTCTACCGTACACTTCTATATTAGCTCAAATTTTTACTGTTTCCTTCTATCTAATCTATTACCAACTTTGCGGGTACATTTTTGGCTCAAATCTACTCTTTCTAGCGCACTTGATTTCTCATCTTTCTTACAATTTTCAGGAAAACATTGAGTGAACCAGAAAACGCTTAAATAAGAGCTCAAAAAAGATCTTTTAAATTTAAAACCTAGCCTTCCTCGTTTCCTTGAACCAAATGACGGTCAGCTATAATCATCAAGTTGCCACATCAAAGCCATATTTGATCTTGAAATTGTTGGCAAGGTAAGAATGGAAACAGTTTTGGATTAAGCTTGAAAGTTGTTTCTGAGATTTTCGAAGTCAAAAAATCCGAAACGATCTTACAAGGGAAGATCAATTGCGGGCTAAATGCGGTCTAATCAACTGAGTGTGCGGGCTAAATGCGGGCTAATCAACTGAGTGTGCGGGCTAAATGCGGGCTAATCAACTGAGTGTGCGGGCTAAATGCTGGCTAATCAACTGAGAGTGCGGGCTAAATGCTGGCTAATCAACTGAGTGTGCGGGCTAAATGCTGGCTAATCAACTGAGAGTGCGGGCTAAATGCTGGCTAATCAACTGAGTGTGCGGGCTAAATGCTGGCTAATCAACTGAGAGTGCGGGCTAAATGCTGGCTAATCAACTGAGTGTGCGGGCTAAATGCTGGCTAATCAACTGAGAGTGCGGGCTAAATGCTGGCTAATCAACTGAGTGTGCGGGCTAAATGCTGGCTAATCAACTGAGTGTGCGGGCTAAATGCTGGCTAATCAACTGAGAGTGCGGGCTAAATGCTGGCTAATCAACTGAGTGTGCGGGCTAAATGCTGGCTAATCAACTGAGTGTGCGGGCTAAATGCTGGCTAATCAACTGAGAGTGCGGGCTAAATGCGGTCTAAATGCTAAATCAACTGAGTGTGCGGGCATGATCCATCAACCATTTGACGCAGAATTTCACGCTGATCATCATCCTGTTTTTCTTTTTTCCTACGAAGCACTTTGTCAAAAGTTATACGCGTTTAAAGTTAGGGTCTTGACTCAGCCGCTCAGCCACGGCTGCAACGGCTGAGATGGCGTAAGACAGGGTTATAATGTAGCGGTTTGATTTTTCAAACTCCTTACAAACTCTAAGCGTGGCTAACTTTTGACAGAGCGCTTTGTAGGAAAAAAGAAAAGCATGATCATGATCAGAGTGAAATTCTGCGTCGAATCGTCTATTTTATTTGGCTGAGGGACGCATTTGATCTTCCCTTGTTAGCTTTTTAAATTCATCAAGAACAAATACTTAGGCTTGAGTCAAAATAGTTAAAAAAGGCAGTTCTTTTTCTGAAAACTCAATTGAATCTTCAAATTTCTCAATTCAGATGGAAGGGTTCTGTATGGAAAGCGGTTTCGCTCGAGCTCGGGATCTGGATCATCGCCTATTACACAATATTTTGCATCTATCGTTTTTGGATGGGGGATTATAGTAAAAAGTTTGTTCCAGAGGATCGCATTGTTATTTGTTTATTTATTAGCCGATTTATTTACTCAATTTTAGAAATTCATTTAAAGAAATTCCTTTAATGAAATCCATTTAAAGAAATCCATTTAAAGAAATCTATTTAAAGATATCTATTTAAAGTTATCTATTTAAAGAAATCCATTTAAAGAAATCCATTTAAAGAAATCTCTTTAAAGAAATCCATTTAAAGATATTACTTTAAAGAAATCTCTTTACAGAAATCTCTTTACAGAAATCTCTTTACAGAAATCTCTTTAAAGAAATCCATTTAAAGAAATCCATTTAAAGAAATCCATTTAATGAAATCCATTTAATGAAATCCATTTAAAGAAATCCATTTAAAGAAATCTCTTTAAAGAAATCCATTTAATGAAATCCATTTAATGAAATCCATTTAATGAAATCCATTTAATGAAATCTCTTTAAAGAAATCCATTTAATGAAATCCATTTAAAGAAATCCATTTAAAGAAATCTCTTTAAAGAAATCCATTTAATGAAATCCATTTAATGAAATCTCTTTAAAGAAATCCATTTAATGAAATCTCTTTAAAGAAATCCATTTAATGAAATCCATTTAATGAAATCTCTTTAAAGAAATCCATTTAATGAAATCTCTTTAAAGAAATCCATTTAATGAAATCCATTTAAAGAAACCTCTTTAAAGAAATCCCTGTAAAGAAATATTGTTTGCGTGCTTGGTACTCTTCACTCAAGACACGTTATTTCTTGTTTCGAGATATCTGATCTCACTTGAACTAAAAACACTTTATTCAATAGCCGACTGACTCGGAATCTTTGGGCTCTCACTTGAGCAACTTTCACACAAGATCGACAACTGAATTAAAAGTGACGATAAAAACAGAAACAATTTCGTCCTAATTAGGACACAACTTTCACACAATGAGAGGAAAGCAGAAAGAAAATGAAAGGTAACAACGAAAAACAAATGAACAACAGTTGCCTTATATAGGCTTTAACACAAGATGCTCAGCTAACAAGCTACAAAACAATAAATGATTTGGGGCGCGAAATAGAATGAAGGCGCACCGATTTCCTCAATACTTTTCCAATTTTTAGGCTGTCAGAGTTAGATAACTTTTAGTGGCTATTCGCCACAATCCATTTAAAGAAATCTCTTTAAAGAAATCTCTTTAAAGAAATCCATTTAAAGAAATCCATCTAAAACAAAGTTTTCTTTATTAAAAAACATTGATTTCAGAAAATTTCAGAAAATTTCAGAAAATTCGAGGATTTCATTCGTTTTTTCCAAGGTTCGATGAGCTATATTCCATTGGATTTTATGTTATCATTCTTTGTTACAATTGTCGTCAATCGATGGTCAACTATATTTCAAAATTTGGGAATGATTGACAAGTTTGGCTTTTCGGTTCTGTAATGAATTCTTTTCTTTTCTTCAGTATTGCTCTTTTTGCCTCAAACTATATCAAAGGAAACGATGAAAGAGGGAGAAATTTGAGAAGAAATGTCGTGAGGTAAGAAAAGTAGAAAAGTAAGAAATGTAGAAAAGTAAAGGATTTCAAATAAAATGATTGAAAATATTAGGTTGATGCAAAAGTCTTTTTCATTTTTTTCGTACTTCCGTTAAAAAGTAACAAATGCACCAATTGAGCAACGGTTTATTGCATTCGAAAGGCCAATTATTTTTCACATTAAAACGTTATGACATTAAAACGAGTTTAAAATGTCTTATGTCTAGATTTTTTCGAGAGCCTGAAGTCGGGTAGTCAAAAAAGGCGACGGCTCGATGATGCATTTTCGACGCTTTAGCTAAGGAAACCAATCTTGATGTTAATAAATAAAAGATAGAGCACAAAAAGTTAGATATTTTTTTCAGATTTTCAGAGAAATTGATTCAGCCAATTTCTTTATAGAGGTTTTTATAGATTTTTATGAAAACGTTTTCACTTTTTTCACTCTCGAATTTGCTTGAAAGTGAACCCAAATTGACTTAAAAAGATGGGAAATTCAACAATAAACACTTTTCATTTAGAGCAAACCATAGGTTAATTGATGACTTTGTTATTTTTCAAAAGAAGTACGAAAAAAATGAAAAAGACTTTTGCATCATTAGGTACATGCATAAGAAATGCGGATTTCAACATTTTTCATCAATTTCTAACGATACAAACCAGATATCGATGAATATTATAAACTATTTGAAAGTTGTAAATCTCCTCTACAAAATAGGCTATAAAGTGTTTGAAGTGAGAATAGGCAACGATTGTCACCGCTCTTCCCCCCGGTTCCCTTCTAAGATACATCACACTTCTTGGGCTTTCACATCACACTTGATGTGAAAAGAGGAAACCATAGGTTAATTTTCATTTAGAGCAAACCATAGGTTAATTGATCACTTTGTTATTTTTCAAAAGAAGTACGAAAAAAATGAAAAAGACTTTTGCATCAACCTAATAAAATGATTGAAAATAAAATAATAAAATGATTGAAAGATTGGAAAGATGATTTCACTAAAGTTTAACATCTCTTGAAATCTATTTAAATCTATTTAAATCTATTTAAATCTATTTAAATCTATTTAAATCTATTTAAATCTATTTAAAGTTACTTTTTTTAGTAACTTTGCTTAAAAATAGCTAACAATTATCAAATTTTATCTTTTAAAAGTATAAAGTATACTCTCTAATGGTAGTTGATGTGAGTTGATGACTATTTTACGGTTTCCAAGCTTTTGCAGAAGCTCAACACTCAAATCCCCCATTAGATCTCATCGTCAGCTAAATTTTCCGATCCCACATCGATAGGTTCTGATAAGCGCTTTTCGAGATTACGAGCAATTTAGGCGACGCTCTGGGTGCACCTAAAAGTCTTCTTTAGCACCTACAAAGTTTTCAAATGAAATTGAAAGTTCAAACCAAAAGCATTCAACCTTCAAAGCTTCACTATCCATTTTTGAATTGCTCAATGAGAAAATGCTGTAACAAAAGACTTTTCGCATTTGTTTTTCCGTTTATTCTTCAGTTTTTTAAGTAGATCGTTTAGGCTGATTGCTGATACCGTATTCTCTCTAATAGTAGTGCACCCAGCCGAGCCGAGTTGATGACTATTCTACAGTTTCTAAGCTTTCAAGAAGCTCAACACTCCAATCCCCACTAGATCTCATCGTCAGCTACATTTTCCAACCCCACATCGATAGGTTCTGATAAACGGATCTCGAGATTTCGAGGAATTTAGGCTCAGGGCCTACTCTATTAGAGAGAATACGGTACATTGATCTGAATTTGATTTGAATTAGATCAAATGATTGATTTCAAATCTAGTTATGTATTTTGTACAGTGAACTTAGATTTTCAAGGGAAAAACTTCTTGTTTAAGCTATTTCTAGTGGTTTTTAATGGGGATTTGTTTACGTAATAACGATTTGCTTGGCATAGTCACCTATTCAAATCTATCTTAAACATTAATAGTTGTCTAATGAAACTAAACTAGATAAACAAGATGATCTGATCAATTAATAGAAAGGAGAAAATGTCCATGCAAAGCTAACCAGCTACGCAGTCTAGCTTTCCGAAGTACGTGCGGATATTCTATCTAGAAGTACTGCGAGCACATAGCACAAATCTGATTGCAAATTCGGATTCCTCACCCTTCCTCACCCTTCCCCACCCTTCCTCACCCTTCCTCACCCTTCCCCACCCTTCCTCACCCTTCCCCACCCTTCCTCACCCTTCCTCACCCTTCCTCACCCTTCCTCACCCTTCCTCACCCTTCCTCACCCTTGTCTAACAAATGTCCATGCAAAGCCTTTATCCTTATAAGAACTTTTCAAAAAAGACACAAAGATTAGTGAAGGGAAAGATTGGTTTTGTTTAGGTTTTGTTTAGGTTTTGTTTAGGTTTTGTTTAGGTTTTGTTTAGGTTTTGTTTAGGTTTTGTTTAGGTTTTTTTAGCTTTTTTTAGCTTTGTTTAACTTTGTTTAACTTTGTTTAACTTTGTGAGCTTTTTTTTTAGCTTAAACTTACTGCATTTTACTGTTTAACAAAAGCCAAAGCTATGAATTCAATTTTGCATGAAAAATTAGCGATAAAATTTAAACCTTTATTCTAGATACTGTTGCCTGTCTCAAGCAATGGTTTTTCGAGATTTAAATATGCAAGTGCGACGCCGATTTCCCACTTTTGAGGACTCTTGTCGCAGCTAGTAATGTCTTTTGTGCTAAAAATTCAAAACAAACACACAATAAACTAGATTTTCATTTTTCAGCAAAAAAAAGGAGCACTAGTTGGCTGAAAATGAAACTCAAAAACATCTTTAGCCACCTTTCTTTACAGGTTTCATGATGGAGCACGAGTTGCAGATGTTTCACGATGTACAAAATCGGTGGGATTGCTTGAAAGCTTGAAAGCTCGAAAAAAGCTTGAAAAAGCTTAAATAAAGCTAGATATTTCTTATTTTTTGATATTTATACAATTTTCAACATCTTTATGCTTGTAGATATGCAAAATATTGGGTGCCGTTGAACTGGTCACTCACGTTGATCAACAATGCGACAAAAGGGGGCCGCCCTTTTGACGCAACTTGCGCCATTTGACGCAACTTGCGCCATTGACACAATCTGACGCAATCTAACGCCAATTTGACATAATTTGGCGCAATCTGGCGTCATTTGGCGCAAATTTGACGCAATTTGGCGTATTTTGGCGTCATTTCACGCAATCTGACACAATTTTGCGCAAATTTGACGCAATTTGACGTAATTTGACGCAATTTGGCGCAATCTGACGTCATTTGGCGCAAATTTGACGCAATTTGGCGTATTTTGGCGTCATTTCACGCAATCTGACACAATTTTGCGCAAATTTGACGCAATTTGACGTAAATTTGACGGAATTTGGCGTACTTTGGCGTACTTTGGCGTAATTTTGCCCCAAATTTGACGCAATCTAACGCAATTTGACGTAATTTGGCACAAATTTGATGCAATTGACGGAATTTGGCGTATTTTCGCGTAATTTGTGTCATTTCGCGCAATCGGCCCCTTTTGACGCAACTTGCGCCATTTGGCGCAAATTTGACCCAATTTGGCGCAATCTGTGCGTCATTTGGCGTATTTTGGCGTCATTTCACGCGATCTGACACAATTTTGGCGACACAATCTGGCGTAATTTTGCGCAAATCTGACGCAATTTGGCCTCATTTTCATTGCTCGGTGGGA